CCCTCCTTGCCAGAATGCACCCTGCAGAAAGCCAGAGCAGTTGGCACCTGTGTTTTCTTTGTAAAGTCTGCAAAGGACAAATGGAAATTGTTTTAGAAGTGTATCTAGGCAACAGTTTTCCCTATAAACTGATCTCTCAGTTTGACTTGTACCTCTTAGCTATTGATCACTGGTTTAAATATAGCAGCTTGTTATCTGGTAGTTTCTAGTGTAGAAAATATCAATCTGTTTTCTATCACTTAGATCTGTGTAACAAGTGTTGTAGGTGTGAAACAATATTACAAGTGACCGATGTAGTAAATTCGAATCAAAGATACGCTTCAATTTGACTCTCAGACATAGGCGTGCGCACGGGGTGTGCCGGGTGTGCCTGGGCACACCCTAATCCCCGTGGCACGCCTATGGTTTGAGTCCTGCAGGAACAGTGTTCCTGCACTTTTTTTGAGCAGGAACGCTGTTCCTGCAGGCACTCAGCGCCCCACTCACCTCTTGCCCCTGTCATGGATTCCCCCCCCCCCGCTCTCCAGCTCAGCCGCGGCGAGGGAGCTCTCTGCTCTCTGCTCCCTCTCGCCGCGCGCTGATGCCGGGAGATGGAATATGACGTCATATTCCGGCTCCCAGCTACAGCGGCTGAGCTGGAGAGAGGCGCCCGTCCCACTGGACCCCAGGGAAAAGTCCACGCCAGCACTCCAGGTAGGAGGCTGGGTGGACATTGTTTTTTATTAAAATATAATAATTTGTTCTTGTGTGTGAGTGTGTGAGTGTGTGTGTGTGTCTGTGTGTGAGTGTGTGTGTATGTCTGTGTGTGTGTGTGTCTGTGAGTGTGTGTGTCTGTGAGTGTGTGTTTGTGTGTCTGAGTGTGTGTCTGTGTGTGAGTGTGTGTGTGTGTCTGTGAGTATGTCTGTGTGTGTGTCTGTGAGTGTGTCTGTGTGTCAGTATGTGTGTCTGTGTGTTTGTGTGTCAATGTGTCTGTGTGTGAGTGTGTCTGTGTGTGTGTGTCTGTGAATGTGTGTGTGTGTGTGTCTCTGTGAATGTGTGTCTGTGTGTGTGTCTGTGAATGTGTGTCTGTGTATGTGTCTGTGTGAATGTGTGTGTGTGTGTCTGTGAGTGTGTACGCATATATATATATATATATATACACACACACACACAGAGCCGGCGCTATCTGAATGCCGGCTCTGCTCTAAGCTTCCATGGGCCGGCGGGGAGACCAAAGATCTACCTCACCGGCCCACAGCAGCATGGAGGGAGGCAGGAGAGGACCCAGGGAGCTCTAGACAGAAGCTCTGCCAGGTTCCTCTCGCGATATCTGAGCGTTGCTGCGGCAACGCTCAGATCTCGCGAGAGTTAACTCTAGCCCCGCAGACTAGAGTTCACTCTCCACTGGACCACAAGGGATGGCACATGGCAGCAAGGATTTACTAATCTGCCAAATCCCTCCAAACATACAGCACACACACATACAGCACCTACACACATACAGCTCACACACACACAGTACACTAACCGCACCCTCACAAACACACACAGCACCTTTAAAAAAAACACAACACCCTCACACACAGCACACTAACAGCACCCTCACAAACACTCACACAAACAGCACCCTCACAGGACAAACATACACACACAAACACCCTCACACACAAACAGCACAGTCACAAACACACACACACACACACAAATACCCTCACATCACACTAACAGCACCCTCACACACACATCACACTAACAGCATCTATATATATATATATAGATACATACACACACACACGGTGGGTGTTTGTGCTTTAGGGTACACACCCTAATGCAATAGGCTGCGCACGCCTATGCTCTCAGATATGAAGTGAACACCCCAAATATACTATTTAGCACCAAAAAAAACTAAAAATAAAAAAATTGACTTTTTAAAACTCCAATGTAAGCAGCAGATTAGCAGCAAAACAATTAGAATGTTTACAAGTGCGCAGTAAGCACACTATTAGACGCTTCGATTTGACTCTCAGATATGAAGAACAGGCGCCCAAAATGTACTATTTAGCAGTAAAACAATTAGAATGTTTACCACTGCGCAGTAAGCACACTATTAGACGCTTCGATTTGACTCTCAGATATGAAGTGCACCCCACTAATGTACTTTTTAGCACCCAAAAAATTTAAAGTTTTAAAACTGCAATGTGACAGCAGTGTTTGACGATTCTATTTGACTCTCAGATATGAAGTGCACCCCACTAACGCACTACCCCACTACTGTACTATTTAGCACCAAAATAAAAATAACTTTTTAAAACTCTGATGTAACCGGGGTATTTGAAGCTTCTATTTGACTCTCAGATATGAAGTGCACCCCACCCCACTAATGTACTAGTTTGCAGAATTATTTCCTGAGCTGTCCCTATCAGCAGCAGCATCCTCTCCCTACACTAATAAGACCGCATGTGCGTGCAGTGCTACATGACTCCAGCTTATATATAGAGGCTAGGTCACATGCTGCACTGGCCAATCACAGCCATGCCATTAGTAGGCATGGCTGTGATTTCTTCTAAGGGCACACGAGT